AAATCATAATAAACTAATAAACTTAATTTTTTTCCCTAATTCTTTATTGTTCAAATGGGTCATGAGAGCAATCTAAAATGACTTTTTTATTATTAAAAATATTACCAATAGTTAATGATCTTCGACATTTCTTTCAACACATAAACGATAAACCCAATATGTCATGTGTCCCCTTACATCTCATATTCACCTAGAGTAGGTTACCTCTCTTAAAATAGCAATCTACATTAACGTGTACATCAAGACTAGATCTACACATCGTATAAAACATGGTTAAGTACTTAAATTTTCGAGACGTTCCACAAGGTGTCAAAGTATATTTCACATATATTACAACATCATACATCGGTACTGTTTGTGATTATATCTACAACTTTGTAGATCGATAGAGACAAGTATCTTTCTTTTTGATTTGTAATAACTCTATAAATAACACACAACCCATCCTCTTCTTGTATCCTCAGTTCCAACAATAGGCAACACAGTACTATTTGATTGTTTCATAGAAAATTTTCAAGGAAATTGTGTTTTAAATAAGAAATGGACATGGTGGTTGTGATGATCAGTGAGTACTAACTCAGTAATGATGGATGGTGGAAGTATATAACACGAAAAGTAAAAAATTCCGACACAAAAGTGGATTCTCTTTTCGGGTCTGGGCCTCGGGTCGCACACCCACCCCTGCTTTCATTATACACGCTACGCATGCTCTCTTTTCTCAGACAGATAAACACAATGAAGCACATTAGATGTCTACAAGATTATGAGTATTTATTGAGTGTCTATAGATGCCCACTTTTCCATCTTCTGTTGCATGCTCCCAGCAATGTCTGTAAGTCTATCTATCCCCCCTTCTCTCTCCCTCTCTCTCTAGATGTACATGTATGTATAATTATCTGGTTGAAATGATTGGTAATTGCAGATGGTGGAAGTGAGAGTTCCAAACTTGGACTGCCATGGCTGTGCTTCCAAGCTGAAGAGAGCTCTCTTCAAGCTCAAAGGTACACAACACAATCTTTTTTTCGATGGTTATGGAATGAAGCTGGTTCGATTAGCTATAACAGAATGGTGGTGTGGGTGTGGGTGTGGTGTTTTCAGGAGTGGAAGAGATAGAAATAGAAATGGAGATGCAGAAGGTCGTGGTGAAAGGCTACGGCTTGGAAGAAAGAAAGGTGTTGAAAGCCATCAAACGAGCAGGGAAAGCAGCCGAACCATGGCCATATCCGGGTTACTCCTCCCATTTCGCTTCTTTTTACAAGTACCCGACCCAAATCGCAAATCAATACTATTACAACAGGAATGAAGCTGCCGGACACAATCTGCACGCCTTCTTTCACACCCCTTCGGTTTATTCCGTCGCTGTTGCCCCCGATGAAGCTGTTGCCTCACTCTTTAGTGACGACAATCCTCACGCATGCACCATCATGTGAAAGGGCGCATTTGATTGTATGTTATTTAATTAATCTAGTTTTGAAGTTCATTATTTTTGTAACTTAAGTTGAGATAAATGAATGAGCTACTCATACTCCCAAGTCCTATTGAAAGAGAACTTGCATAAGATGGTATAATGGTGTCAGACTCGCTCGCTGTAGAAAAGCTTTATGTTATGTATTTATCGTCTACCGTTTGGTGTAAGTAGTAAAGTAGATCCGTATTGCATTAAACTCTTTAGACCTTAGATTGTCATTCTATTATTCTGCTTTCTATTAAACTCTTTAAACTTTAGATTGTCCTTCTATTATTCAACTTTTTCTTGGGACGTTAAAAATATAATAATTTTTAAAGGTCAAACTTAACATTTATGGTATTTGGATAGTTTCTGTATTTTTAGTTATTATGCAGGGTGTATTGTGTATTTATTTCTGGAGCAGGCTCGTTTCTTGACTCGGTTTAGATATTCTGTTTCAAGTTTGTATCGATCATTATTCTCTCTTAACACTCTTAGTTTTCTCTCGGTTGTAAACACGATCATGGTTTTTTATTGTTCATCTTCTTCTAGGGTTTCTGTATGATTTGTATACAATTTGAGTATGAGTGAACATATAGAGATTTTTTCGGTATAAAAGTACATGTATAACGTTTTGGTTCGTTTATGAGATGAATTGTTCAAGTTGGGTGAATTATCTTGTCTTTTTTACATGGTATCAGAGCCCAATAGTATCAGAGCCCAAGGTAGCTCCGATCATCGTTTCCGATCATCGTTCTCGTTTCAGAGGTTAGCTATTCTTGTGCTCCTTTTGTTTCCGCAATTATTCTTGTTTTTTGTTCGAAAAAACGTTTAGATCTAATGCTTCTACGTTAAATCTAGGTTTCAGTGTTTGTTTTGTAAACGGTTTCGGATTTAACTCCTTCTGCGTTAAATCTACGTTTCCGTCACTGATTTCTCTTTTGATTACTTTTGTTTTTTGTTCTCGTTACTGCGGTCTGTTTCTTGATTTGCAGATCTTCTAGAGAACTACTTGATCCTTTTGGATCTGGGAAGGTTTGGCGCTCACTGCGTAGACGAAGGTTCTTCTTCGTCTTCATAATAGTCGTTCAATCTCTGTTTAGGTTTTGAAATAACTCTTTAGAGAATGAATTCTGATCTGAAATAACTCTTTTATGAGAACGGATCTAATCTGAAATAACTTTATAAGACAACGAAACCTAAGTGAAACGACCATCATTTTCATCTCTTCTGTTGCTTTGGACCTCTGTAAGCCTTTCTTGTTCCCTTCTTCTCTCATTCTAGCTATAGTTGTGGTAGATCCTGGTTGTCTTGAGTACACCAGTTATTTGCTTGCATTTCTTGTGTTTTCTTGGCTCTGTATTAATTGTATTGGGCCCCAACATATCGTGGTGACCATCCCGACGCTAAATCAATACAATTGTTTTTTTTTTATTTCTTGTGTGTTCATTGCTTTCTTTATCTGTGTTGTTTTTCTTGCCTGCATAGTTGCTTGTCATTATGACTGGTCCTGCTGATATCCCTAGTGGTAGTGGTAAAACTGAAGTTACTATTGATTTTGATGATCCATTGTATATTCATCCTTTAGATAATTCTTTCACAATAATTATAACTATATAACTAATGGGAAATGAAAATTTTCGTTTGTGGAGAAGTTCTATATCTAGGGCTCTTAAAGCCATAAACAAATTAGGTTTTGTTGATGGAAGTATGGAACTCTTAAAAAGAACATTGTAGATCAAACTAAGGCCTTAAAATAGGAAATAGCTAACGCTATTGTTTGCTCTTGGATTCTCCCTTCTATATCAGACTCCATTTATGCCAGTCATTCTTAGTCATTCTTATTCTGAAGTACCTGAAGAAATTTGGAATAGTCATTTTGAAACTTACAATAAGGATGATGGTTATGTGGTTTTCAACATACATCAGCAAATAAGTTCTTTAAAACAAAATGGAATCTCTTTGTCTAACTACTTTAATAAGCTTGATGCATTGTGGAAGGAGTTTGATGGTCTTATTAGTCTTACTAAGTGCACTTGTGAGGCTGCTACTAAGCTAAATAATCACTCTAAACTAATGAAACTTATGCAGTTTCTAAGTGGACTTGATGAATCGTATAGTCAAGTAAAAAGCCATATTCTTCTTATGGACCCATTACCTAATGTTAAATATGCTTTCTCTACAATTTCTCATGAAGAATATCATCAAAGAAATGGATCCTTGTCCAATTCTCAACCCCTACCTAAATCACAACATGTTGCTTTCAATACTAAAGTTAACAATAGGTTTAATTCTTGTAACTCAAATAATAAAAGTAGAAATCAATATGTTCGGTGTAAACACTGTGGTATAAAAGGACATTCAATTGAAAAATGTTCCAAAATAATTGGCTATCCTAAATATTTCAAAAATAGAAATGATTCCCTTAGTTAAAGTAGTCGGAATAAATCTTTTTTCGGTAATTCTTCTACTGTATCTCGTGGGTTGTCTAATTCATCTACCCTATTTGAGTCTTCTAAAGAGTCTGAATATCACCACCTCACAAAAGAACAATATGCCAGATTCCTTCAAATGATTAATGAAAAACAATCAAATATGGAGGGATCTGATGGACAACATGGCATGTACTTCTTTGTTTAATGTTTGTAGTTCCGCTTGTAGTTATCAAAAATGGATTGTGTATTCTGGAGAAAATCAACATATGATAGCTTCAGAATCCCTGCTTCATGACACTATAGATGTGTCTAATTCCTTAACTCTCTTTGATGTTTTTTCTGTTCCTGAATTCAATGTGAATATGTTATATGTTCACAAGGTTTGTAGAGATAGTAATTGCAAAGTAGTGTTTAATGAACATAGTTGTAAAATTCAGGGTTTATAGTCAAATGATATGGTGGGGAATGGTAGAGAATCTAGAGGTCTCTATTACATAGATAATGCACCTTCAAGTAATGTCATTGGTTTTTCCAATTCCGTTGTTTGCTATGTGTCTAAACTTACTTGGCATAATAGGTTAGCTTATCCTTCAGAACAAGCTTTGTTTTCTTTTAGACAATAAACTAAAATTCAGTAATGAGGTTTTACCTCCCTATGATATTTTCCATAAGGCCAAATAAACTAGAGAGTCTTTTCCAATTAGTCAACATGTTACTTCCAAGCTTGGTGAGCTTATCCACTTAGATGTTTGGGGTCCTTATAGGGTGACAACGTCATAAGGGTATAGGTTCATTATGACTATAGTGGGTGACTATACTAGAGCTACCTGGGTTTATCTGTTAAAATCTAAAAAAAAAAGTTTTTGGTTGTGTTTATGTTTTCTTTAACATTTTGATTAATTTGTTTGAAGTTAAAATTAATGTTTTGAGGTCAAATAATGGTACTGAAATTCTTAATAATAAAATAAAATCTTTTTTTAATCTAAAGGTGTTATTCATCAAACCTCATGTGTTCACACTCCATAACAAAATGGTGTTGTGAAGAGGTGTAACGTCCCAAAAACAGTGATAAATTTTTTCATTTCAAAATCAATAGTTTCAAACATCAAGTTGTTCCAAAACATTCACAATATACAATATCAAAATCATCAGAGTAATATTATCCAAAAAGTGCGGAAATCATGAAGGGAGGATGTCGTGCCATCACGCCGGGCTCTTCCCCTAAGTACCGGAAGTACCTAAATGTAACACCCGAAAATTTAAGGAGCAACTTTGGGTATAAATCACCCTTTTGGGGATTGGACACGACGTGTTGGAGGCACCAACACAGTGTGTCCAGATAAGAAAAGACGTGGGTCTCATTAAGTGAAACACGACGTGTTGCCTCCTGGAACATAGCGTGTTGGTCGCTGGAAATGAAACCCTAATTTTTCGGGTTTTTCTCCCTATTTAAAGGAAAGTGGATGCTAGAGTTTGTTCACCCTCAGCCCCCATCATCCCTCAATCCCTGAAAGAAGCCCTAATCATCTTTCCCTCTCATTTGTGAGCTAGTGTGGTGTCTTTGGAGCCAAATAAGGAAGAAGTGGGAAGAAGGAAGCAAGATCTAGCAAACAAATCCCTCATCCTTCAGCTTGGCATTCTTCTGGACCTTTGTAAGTGTCCAAGATCCGATTTTTATCATTCCATATAGCTAGATCTTGATTTTTGTCCCTATAGCTTCTTGTTCTTGAATGTAAGGGTGGTTAGATCTCATAAAGTTTGCAACTTTTTGAATCTCCAGGTCAAGGTGACCTTGTAGAGTGTTGGATCTGGCTTATGGTTGAGTTTTGATGCCATGTATAGAGTTTAGTTCATAATCCTCATTTTTTTACCTAAAATGGGTTCAAGACATGCATTGGTCATGCATGTCAATAAAGCACCGACCTTTGGGATGGTTTTAGTGCTAGAACCTCTTCTGGAAAGTATTGGGAATCATCTTTAAAGATTAAGTACTTATTGGTTAAGTCCTTGCCTCTCCAAGTCTTGTACTTGGGTTTTTGGACCTTTTGGAGTAGTCGCAGGGGATAAAGTTGGAAACTTTAACCTTCTTATTATCATTTCAGTCCAGATATGAGCTTTGGAGTTCTGGGAATTGAAGGAAGCAATATAATGGATTAATCTACTGGAACTCTGGCAAACACGAGGTGTTTGCAAGTCAACACTACGTGTTGGCTGGGGTTTTTCCCGACTGTTCGGATGCGAGAGGAACACGACGTGTTTCCAAGTCAACACGACGTGTTGAAGTCAATATGGACTGTTGACTTTGACTTTTGTCTTTGACCAAGTTGACCTAAAGGGTATTTTGGTATTTTGGGTTTTTGATGGTTATTGGTCACTTGGATGGATAGGTATTGGTTGGAGCTGAGATTCGGAGTCGGGACCTCATTAGCTATGGATCAGATCGAGAGGTGAGTTTTCTTCACTGTGCTTTCGGGTCGAAGGCATCAAGGTCGGCCCATTGGTTTGATGACCTGATATTCGTTGATATGTTGAGTATGGATTAGATATGCATGCTAGTTTGATATGCTAGTTCGGTAGATCTGTAGGACTGCCTATGACACTGTTTGTATGATTATCTGTATATATCGACGTATTGGGTTGGGTTGAGGTTGTACTGCTCCGTGTGGTAGCCAACAAACCCTGGAGCAATCCAGATATGAGCTGAGGGCCGGGGATGGCATACCAGACGCATACCGAGGGCTCATTAGCATTCTAGATATGAGTTAAGGGCCGGGTTGGGCATGCCAGACTCATGATGAGGGCTCAGTAGCATTCCAGATACGGGCTGAGGACGGTTGGTATGCCAGACTCGTACTGAGGGCTAAATGTTTTTATGCCAGTCTAGTGACTGATTAGGCTAGGGAGCAAGCCAGACATAAGTTGTGGGCCCCTGGGGCAGGACAGACTTATGTTGTGGGCTCAGGAGCCAGCCAGATATAAGTTGTGGACCCGATAGGCAAGCCAGACTCATACTGTGGGTTTAGGGGTAATCCAGTCTTTTAGTTGTGGACCCATTGCATGCTGTTATTATATATGTGCTATTTTTTTGGGCGTTGGTACTTTGGGGGAACTCACTAAGCTTCGTGCTTACAGTTTTGGTTTATGGTTTCAGGTACTTCAGTGGACCGTGGCAAGGTGAAGGCGTGACCGTACACATCCTCGTGTTTTCGGAACTTATGATTTCTGGGAAACTCTGATAATGGAAACGTTTTGAAAACTATGTTGTAAACAATTCCGGTTTTAAATAATGATGCCTTATCTGTCATAGAATCCTTGATTGATTGTGGTATGGCTCTTTCGTGTGTAAACTAGCTATTGAGTGAATACGCTAAGTCACATGCTACATGGAGTAAATGATCTTATGATAAGGGATTTGGTCTGCTGCGTAGCTCTTGTCTGAGTCCAACCGTTGTAGGATTGAATCTTTTAGCCTAAGATTGTTTAAACTATATGGCATGTGGTTGTATTCATGCAATAGTTATTTATCACCAATGGAGGGTTGTGTAGTAGTTGATAGTAGGGTGAGTTGTGTGGGGTCAGTCGGTCAGCTGCGTTATGCTTAGTTCTCCTCTAGGAAGTGAGGAAGGGGCGCATGTGTATGAGTGGGTGCAGTTCATGACCGGATAGCACGTAGGATGGTTAGCCACTCTTGAGAGAGTGAGGGCAGAAATAAAGTGTATCCAAGATGTTGGGAGATAGCGATCAAGAATTTCGTATGAGGATCTGCCTGATTTTATTGTGTCTTAGTATCAGTCATCTCCGCTGCTCGAATGCGGCTTGCTTTGTGCTTTGTGGAACTCTTAAGTGATGCGAGCTAGCTACTAAGTGAATATGTCAAGTCACATGTGACAGAGGTTGGATAATCTCAGAGTAATGGATTTGACCCTATTGCGCAGCTCTTATCCGAGTCCAACCGTGGTAATGATGAGTCTTTTATTCAAAGGATTATCTGAGCTTTGTTGCATGTAATTGTATTTATGAAGTAGGTTACTGGCGTTATGGAAAGTTCTTCAGCAGCTGATGGCAGTGTGAGGTCGAAAACCTAGGAAGCTTAGGGAATGATTCGTTGGGTTTTGTTGTGCCATTAAGCGATCATGTGGAGTATCAGTTTGAGAAGGTGACTTAGAGGATTCAGGATGACTCTTGAGGAAAGTATGGATAAGTGTGGAAGGTAGTATTGGGCCTGTAGTACTCAAAGAACAGGATCCATACTCGAATCTGGGAGAGTTTTGGAGAGTCTAGGAAGCCTGTAGAACGAGGATTCTTGGGTATGTTCGGATCGTTTGAATGTTGTTTTGTTGTATGGCGTTGAGCACTCAGGAAAAAGGGCTTAGATTCTGGTTCCAACTCAGGGGCAGGTACTGAGTCGATTGTCGAACGGATGCAGGAGTTTATCACGTCGGAGGTTACCGTGATATTTTGGAATGGGCTTTTGTTGATCTTTGAATATGGTTGCTCAGGCATGGGGAATGGCATGGTATTTGTCCGGCCCTAGTGGCGAAATTGGTTTGGATTGGTCGGGCAAACCTTTATGAGCTTGATGATTTTGAGGCTTCGAAGGTTTTGCTCAAGGTCGTTATTTCGATTCGCGAGACTCAACGATGGATCCACCGTTATGATCGATTTGAGGATTTCAGTTGGACGTAGACTGGTTGATTGATGGTTTGGTATGTCGCTATCAATGGAAACAATTCTACCCCTTCAGTCTTCCGGGTTCGGAGGAGGAGTGATCAGGCTAAGGAATTTCAGTGTTGGGATGTAAACCCAACATGGGAACTATTGGTCGCAGTGTTTGGGGACAAAAGGTTAGCATGGTGGCGTGCAGGTGGTTGATGTGGTATGGATGTTTTGTGATGCAACCAAGGGTCCGTGTTCTTTGGATATAGGCAGGACAGGTACCGGTTTGGCGGTTGGAATTGCCGGCAAGGAGTGTAAGTTGTGGATCATAAGTCAGTATTGGGTTATGCTCTCGTAAGGGAACCTCAATGTTAAGTAGTCATGATTGGGAATTTCAGAGGCCTTCAGCTGAAATTATGGATTCCCTCTGGATATGTTTGATCTTTATCTGGAAGATCATCCTGTGTGTATTATTCATTTACGGGGTCAGGAATGGTTGTACTTGGTTGAGCCGGTTTTGAGGTATGGTTTGGTTTCAACGCCCTTGGGTGGTAGTTCGAACCCTAAGTGGGGGAGAACTGGTATTCTATTTGGTAGATCATCGATCTGTCCGAATTCGTGGTATTGAAGGGTGTCTTGTTCGGTTCTGCGGTGCAAGTGTGTGGAATCTCGGTTTGGGATTTGGTTAGATCAAGAGCATATAGTAGGTGGCGATCAGACATATGGGTCACGAGGTTCATGGGTTGTATCTCAATAGAAAGTGGTTGGTCAAGGAGCTCGTTGCAGCTAGTGGCTTCTTTTTGTGATATCAATGAATAACTAAGGAACCGTTGGGATCACCAAGGTCGAGTATAGGTGGCAGAGGGAAATTTTCATTTAGGTGTGAGGATTTCTAATTGTAGTCTAGCTTGGGCAGATATTGATCAAGGAATTAGTTTCGAAATTGCTGCGTTCAGCCCCACAAGGGTCTTGGTTCATTCGATTTAATGGCTTGTTCACGATTATTGGTCACATCGTTGTCATTCGGTAAAGGATTTGGAAGGTTTTAGTGTGGGCAGTTGAAGTTCTATGGATATGTCAGTTTATCGTCAAATTTAGTATGTTTTATGTTCCTTTGGTCTCTGGGTATGCTTACCCTCACAGATGGTATGGAGTTTTAGTCCATAAAAGGCTTGGGTTTGGTGACATTCAGGATCACTTTAGAAGTCTTCTCGAGTTGTTTGCGTATTGGAGGGATCTGTTCAGTCTCAAGAAAGTATGGGATCTTGTTTCGATCAATCATAAGGATGTCTTTGTTAATGATTGAGGTTCGTCATTCGTTAGAACACTGGTATTTCTGCCTTATTTGGATGAGGTTATAGGTCCCCTAAGAATGTGCATGGTGGTAATTCTTTGTGTGTATGAGGGTTGGGAAAGATAGCCTTGGGGTTTGGATCGAATTATTCACATGGTTCTTTTGGGTGATAACCCTTGAATTGGATCAAGGGTGCAACCGTTATCCTGTTTCTTGGTCGTGGACGACCATGATTGTGTTGGCTTTGCATCGATAGCAGCCAGTTTGTGAAAGGAATTGGATTTGGTGTAGTTATGGCTTGTTGTGCGGTTAGCGCTGAGATGGACGTTGTTAGGTCCCTATAAGGCAGTGGAAAGAGGTTGAGAATCCTTTGGTCATGGTGTGAGTCGCGAGTTCAGGCAAAAGATGTAATGTCGACAAGATTGGCATTATGGCGCGAGCATTCCAGACATGGGTTGAGGGCCGGGTAAGACATTCCAGACTCATACTGTGGGCTCGGTGACAATCTAGACCTATGATGAGGACCTTTTAAGGGTATTCCAGACATAGGATGTTGGGGCCCAATGTTCATGATTGTTGATTTCTTCTGATTATGGTACTTTCGGTATCGGGTGATTTGCTAGTTGGGGCTACACCTAAATGGTTAAGGATTGGAGATAAATGAGGAATTTCTGGAATTCTCATCTTTGCTCATAGGATCAGTGGTTAGAATGATGTGTCAGGAAGTCACGAGTTAATTAAAGGTTTGGTGCATCCTATGGATTTGGGATTAGTGGAAAATTCGCGAACGAGGTGTTTGGGTTCATTTCAAATAATGTATTGGATTCCGGATTTTGAGCTAAGTAGTGATGGTTGTACTTTATCAGTTAACGTCAGTAGGATCAAGGAATTATTTGTCGTCAGTATGTGAGTCATGCTTTGAATGGGTTCGATTAATGGAAGGCCATCGTATGGCAAGGTCGACTTTTATCAGGGATCAATAAGTAGTCAGAGGTATATGTTTTCGGGTATCTGTAGATTTGTTCAGGTCGGATAGGTGGTTCGGTTCGGGTTTTGGGGTTGATTCTTTGTGGGATTAGTTTTGATTGGTTCTGTTTGTCTTGGAGTCCGACATTGTTCAGGGTTTTCAATTTCAGGTACATCAGTTGGATACTCGTTGGCTTAAGGAAAAGTTGAGGTTTACTCTTCGTCGGGGTTTGTGATATCTTCTATTTTGGGTTCGACATTAGTAAGGGTGGGTAGTCATCTGAGCGAGGTGACTTCCCTAGTCATTTTGGGATTCAGGGAGTCCAGTCAGGATCGTTAAGTCAGTAAAGGAGATAGTGAGGAATGATTTCGAGGACGAAATCTATTTAAGTGGGGGAAAAAGTTGTAACACACGGAAATTTGAGGATCAACTTTGGGTATAAATCACCCTTTTTGGGATTGGACACGACGTGTTGGAGGCACCAACACGGTGTGTCCAGATAAGAAAATATGTGGGTCTCATTAAGTGAAACACGACGTTTTGCCTTCTGGAACACGGCGTGTTGGTCGTTGGAAATAAAACCCTAATTTTTCGGGTTTTGCTCCCTATTTAAAGGAAAGTGGAGGCTAGGGTTTGTTCACCCTCAGCCCCCATCAACCCTCAAGCCCTGAAAGAAACCCTAATCATATTTCCCTCTAATTTGTGAGCTAGTATGGTGTCTTTGGAGCCAAATAAGGAAGAAGTGGGAAGAAGGAAGCAAGATCCAACAAAAAAATCCCTCATCCTTTAGCTTGTCATTCTTCTGGACCTTTGTAAGTGTCCAAGATCCGATATTTATCATTCCATATTGCTAGATCTTCAGTTTTGTCCCTATAGCTTCTTGTTCTTGAATGTAAGGGTGGTTAGATCTCATAAAGTTTGCAACTTTATGAATCTGCAAGTCAAGGTGACCTTGTAGAGTGTTGGATCTGGCTTATGGTTGAGTTTTGATGCCATGTATAGAGATTAGTTCATAATCCTCATTTTTTTACCTAAAATGGGTTCAAGACATGCATTGGTCATGCATGTCTATAAAGCACCGACCTTTGGAATGGTTTTAGTGCTAGAACCTCTTCTAAAAGTATTGGGAGTCAACTTTAAAGATTAAGTACTTATTGGTTATGTCCTTGCCCCTCCAAGTCTTATAGTTAGGTTTTGGACCCTTTATAGTAGCCCTAGGGGATAAAGTTGGAAACTTTATCCTTCTTATTATAATTTCGGTCCAGATTTGAGCTTTGGAGCTCTGGGAATTGAAGGAAGCAGCATAATGGATTAAGCTGCTATAACTCTGGCAAACACGGAGTGTTTGCAAGTGAACACGGCGTGTTGGCCGGGGTTTT